TTTCTATACTAGTTACAACTAACACAAATGTACATACAGGCCAGAGAAGTCAAGGCACACAGGTATGTGTTTGTCATTCATTCACAGATTCTTTAAGACAGGGCCTGCCCCTCGGGAGATGGCGGACCAGCTACGTCCAGTTCCCACCTTGGTGAAGCCAATTACCAAGAATGAAACCACAGGACATAGCATTTATTGTGTATTTGAGACTTTGTGTGACTAACCTGACCCTGTGGCTGGGGATCTTATACTATTTATGAGTGAGGAAAGAGATCAAAGAAAGGTCTGGAGGGGACTTCCGCTCAGCTGAGGCCTCCGTGCTGGCCTTTATGATTCCAGGAGTAAGCTGGATTCCCCCAGCAAGCCTTCCCAGCAGAGTGCCTGTAACTGGCCAGACAGGAATAGGGGCACAGGCTGGTCCAGGGAGGTAAAGTAGAGTGCTTACCTCATGACCGAAGCAAGGCAGGATGGTATGTGCTGCTAGTTAGGAAAAGCGCGTTAGTCACAGCAGAGCATGGGATGGTCAGTGCGGGAATCAGTGGGGAGGAGGTCAGCGTGGGGCCTTGCATGCACACAGGCAGGCAGGGTGTGCTGGAGGTGACAGGGTGCCACCCGCCTCCTGTGCGATGAGGCAAGGAGTCTTCGGAGTCTTGCTGGAATGGAGACAGGGAAGGGCGTGGCTAGCTGTGCTTTCTGTTGAGACCTCTCTGGGTGTTCTTGGGGAGAAACAAGCAGGGCAAGGGCTTTGGCTTGTTAAGCATCTCCAGGTAGGCACAAGAGCTCGGTGTAAGGCTTCTGCTTCCAAAGAAGCCGGGAAGACAGAAGAGGCAGATCTGAGTGGATGGCTGGAGTGGGCAGTCTCTCAGCCACTCAGTTTAGTGACCTACCACTTGCGGGTTTCAATCCGACTGTCACCTCCTGGAGTAATAATAGGCTCTCCTGTCCCCCTTATGGACCAGCTTGGGAATCTAGTGTGACTCTGAAGGCAGCTGGGTGAAAAAGTTCAATTTTATACCATCCCTGTCTCTGGACTGGGACCTTCCAGGATGGGCCCCTCCTTCATCTGCTCACCAACCTGCTTCCTTAGCAGGGTCATAAAGTGTGGCACTTAGGCATGCTTTCCAGAGGATGTTTGCCGAAAGCGTGGATGTAGCATCAATCACACATTTCTAAATGCTCCATTGGGGAGACACTTTGTCTTCCCTAAGAACTGGATCAAAGATTCAAGATCTTGATCTAGTTGGGGTGGGGGTGGCGGTGGGGGTCCCAGCTCAGCTGAACTGCAGCTGGAAAGCCAGTGTGAGGGGCAGGACTCCAGGCTCCTAGAGAAGCTTCCAGAAAGGTGAGCCTTGTGACCAGCCCCTGCTCTCCTTCAGTGCCACCCCCAAATTGTGTTTTGGGACTGAAACTGGGTTTCAGTTTCAAAACACATTGCGGTTTTTCATGTTGAAGCTCTGAAGTCCTTTCCCAGGTGGCCAGAGCCCCCCATTCCAGGGCAGGAGCGACACACTTGGGGCACCTGCTGGCTCACCCAGCAGTGTGAGCATTCTTTTCCTCTACAGTGTTTATTTTGCATGCTTTGTTTTTCTTACAGAGTGTCATATGTGCTCATAAATTTGCTGGCAAAACAATAAATAAATAAATAAATAAAGAAAGAAAGAAAGAAAGAAAGAAAGAAATAAATAAATAAATAAATAAATAAATAAATAAATAAATAACTGTTATTCCCTCCTGGGTTTTTGCATTTGTTTTGGCACGTGTATGTATCTAATCTCGAGGATGCTAATTTGCCTAATTCTTTCACTTGTCAGTATCTGTGAGAAAATGTGGGTGCAACTGATTTGAGAGCTTCTAGGAAGGAGTTTTAAGATTAACCAAGCTGGTGAGTTCTTTCTCTCTCTCTCTCTAAGATTAACCAAGCTGGTGAATTCCTTCTCTCTCTCTCTCTCTCTCTCTCTCTCTCTCTCTCTCTCCCCCTCTCCCTCTCTCTCCCTCTCTCCCCTTCCTCCTTCCTTCTCCTTCCTCCTCCCACCTCCTTCTTCTCTTTCACTCTCCAGGGCATCTTGTAGCCCAGGCTGACTCCAGCTCCCTCTCTAGCAGAAGATAACCTTGAATATATATGATCCTGCTGCCTCCACCACCCAAGTCTTGTGATTACAGGCATGCTGCACCACACCGGGTATTTCCTGTGCTGGGATCAAACCCAGGTATGGGAGCAGGCTAGGCAAGCATCTGCCAGCTGTGCCGCACCCTCAGCTCCTGTTTGCCTTTTTCTGGGTTTCATCAGATTGACATAAATAAAAACAACTATTGGGTAAATAATATCAAACTCATTCTTTCAACAAGCATAAAATAAAAACCTCAAGTGAACCGGACAGACGTTGAGGAGTCCGCTCCGTGGAAATCAACTTTCTCTTTCTGGCAACATGAGACCATGAGCACCCTGCTATGGGTCCTTAGAGTTAAGCCAGTGTGAAGGTCAGGTCCCTGTGGCTCATGACTGTAGGGCTCTGCTCTGCTGCAGCACCTCTTTAATCCTTCCACTCAGGAGGTGGAGACAGGAGAATCAAAAGTTTAAGATTATCCTTGGCTCCACAATAAATTCAAGGCCAGCCTGGACTGTGACATCAAAAAGAAAACAAACCAAAAGGGGGGAAAAAAACCCTGCATGCACATACCACAGGATCTCAGGGTTGTGAGAAAAAAGGAGGGAGGAAGAGAAAGAGAAAGAGAAATAAAATGCTGGTAGGAGTTCACCCACTCAGGGTGGGGATCTCCGCGGCTTGCCTTTAGGATCAGTCATGGCAGGTTGGTGATGGATTGCAGAGAGCCATTGCCTCGGAATCTTGGGTTTGGAGGGACAGTGGGGTTACTGGTTGACAGAGGGAGAAATAAGACCCGGAATGAAGCCGTTCATAGGACACAGCCCAGGGCCCAACAGAAGCACAGACCAGCCCGGAATCCTAGTCCACAAACAAGCCTGTCTTTTTGCCTAGGATACTGGCTATTTTGGGAGTTAGGAGGGGAGAATCAGAGTCAGGAAGAGACAGGATGTAGCCTCCACAGACCCAAGGAAGGCTAGGCAACATGAAGCCTCTGCTTTAGAGCCCCGGAAGGCCCAGAGTGAGGTGTTAGGAGACCCCACCTTCCTTAGCACTTTCATCTGCCCACTCAGCCTCCTAACCTGTCCCCACTTCTGCCCACACAACCACCAAGCCCCCGCCCTCACCCCAGGATGCTTTGCTCCATCTACCACAGGCTCTCTGTACCTTTGCCTGTACTCAAGGAGGGTACAAACCTGCCAGGCACAGCTGTGCGCGCTGGACACCTCACAGGGTATTGCTTCCACACTGCAGACACCACAGCCTCCCATCAGCAGTTTCTAGCAGGTGACAGGAAGACGCGCCTGTTCTCTTTTAATCACCTACACTTGGGTGCCATCTGGGCCGGCAGGGCTCGGCTGTTTGCTCTGCCTAGAATACCGCCTCCCCTGTGCCTCACACTTCATGAAGCAGACTCTGGCTCCCCCAGAGCCCTCCTCTTTTCCCGGAGGATATCCATAGCAACACCCTTCTCACCACAAGTGTCCGGCTAACGTCAGTCAATGCTAACTGCTGAGGCAGGAGTCACTAAGGCCTGGTAGAGATTTCCGGAACACGGTTCTGGGTGGACTCATGGCTGAACTGATTACTCAAAAGTAACATTCCTTTCAATCTTCATTCTTTAAACGGGAACACTTAAAAAAAAAAATCTCTGCTGGTTTGTGCTTTTCTCCAACACTCGCTAATGAGACACCGAGTCATGTCAGGAATAAGCAGACTGGAGTCCGGGAGGCTGTGGCTTAACACACAGCCTTCTTTAAAGGGTGTCTGATCTCTTCATGCACTCATTTCTTTCTACGGGACACGAGGCTGAGTTTCTGTCTCCTGGAGTGGTATAATAAAGTTTTATTTACAAATCGATGTGTCTATTTTAAAGTGCCGAGTGCAAATGCACACCCAACCAGTTGCAAGTCGAGCAGAAAGTCATCTGGGGGCAACTGGGAGGGTGAGAATGTGATGTGCAGGCTCTGAAGACAGACTGCCTGAATTTGGGTGTAGTAGCTCACTGTGTGAGGTTAGTTCTCATCTCTGGGCCTGGTACTCTTCACATGTTCAGCTAGAAGGATTACAATGGTAATCAAGTACCCTGGAAACTGTAGTGAGATGTGCGTGAAGATTCCTGCAGCTGGGCACAGTGGCACACACCTGTGATCTCAGCAGTCAAGACAATGAGGTAGAAGGATCCTGAATTCAAGGCCAGCCTAGGCTACATGGAAAGGACTTGTTGTGTGTGTGTGTGTGTGTGTGTGTGTGTGTATACATATACATATATGTGTGTTTGTATATATATATGTGTGCCTGTGTGTAAATATATAGACTGAAGCAATGGCTTCGTGTGAGGTACCATGTGGGATCTAGCCATTGAACCCAGGTCCTCTGAAAGTGCAGCCATCGAGTGCTCCTGATTGCTGAGCCATCTTGACAACCTCCAGACCTTGTCTGAATAAATAAGTAAACAAATAAACAGATAGGCTGGGGATGTAGTTTTGTCGGTAGAACTCTTGCCTAGCATGTGCAAAGCCCTGGGCTCAATCTCCAGCATCAAATAAACTCAAGAGTAGAGGCTCACACCTCTAAGAAGAACTCGGCTCAGAAATTTAAGGTTATTTCCCACTACACAGGGAAGACAGAATTCCAAGGTCATCCTTGACTATACAATAAGCTTGAGGGCAGCTTGGGACTTTGGACCTGATCAGCCCACCTCAAATAAAATGATCTTCGTAGTGATTGCTGTGTTTATGACAGGTTGTTCTAGCCGCTGCTGTGACCGGGAGTCACAGGTGAGTACACACTGTTCACAGAACCAAGGACAGTTCGGCTGTAGGAATTTTTATTAGCAGGGGAGGGTGGGACACTAAGGCAGGAGGGCTGCAGGAGGAGGGGCTACAGAAGCTTGGTTCACTTGGGGGGTTCGGTGGCCAGCACCGGGAAGCAGCCCTCTTGGTGCCACTGGCGGTCCCTCAGGCGCCGCACAGCCTGCATCTGCGGCTGGAAGGCACCCCATTCATTCCAGTGTCGGAAGTCACCAGGCTCTAGCAGATACTGGTAGCCTCGGTAGCCTGGGTACTGGTAGCCGACCCACCTGGGAAGGAAGCAGGGAAGGTGTAGAGGCAGCCAGAGTCTCTTCCAAACCTCTTTCTCTCCACCCATCATGCAGCGAGCATCCTAGTAGCACACACCTGCCTTGGCTTGGCCCTTCCTACCCCATGTATGGAACCATGTCTCCTTTCTGATAGGCCTCAGTATTCTCCTCAGGAAAGTGGGCACAGTCATGTGGCTGCTGTTTCAGGCATGCTTAGGGAATACTCAAGTGATAGAGTGAATACTCCACTGCAGGCTGAGTCAGCCCACAGCCAAAGAAGATGGTGACACAGACCCTCCCGGAAAGAACAGAAATGGAGTCCAGTACGTGAGACTTCAGCTCCCAGCCTATGAGGACTAGGCATCAGGAGCCATGTCTCCAAACCTGGGTGTCCATCATACGCACTGAGTCTCTGAGGCTACTGTAAGCACTGTCCAGTGTCAGATAACCACGAGTCAGGCCCAGAAGCTGAGCCATGTGGGCCTCAGTTTACCCTCTGTGGGGTGGGGATGGTGGTGACCCTACTCCTTCCATCTTTGCTGGTGAGTAAGTGCAGCACAGAAGTGCCCTCGCCAAGGAAGGCACAGTCAGCGAGTCAGTCTGAGCTTGGTCCTTGCCCAAGGATGATCTGGGGGCTTTTCGAGTCCTTCTCTGAGCCACTGTTTGCCATTAGCTGACTTCTCTGGAGTGATATTTGGATCCTACCCAGTTCCTTCCAACCTGAGAGCAGAGGGGAGCTCTGGCTGGACCATGTCCTCAATGTACAGAGCACACTGGTGTCCTGGGGCAGAAGAAACCTCTCTAAGCAGAGAGTGGCCTCAACCCAAGCCTCCTCTCTGTGCCCAGCATGTGCCAGGCTCTCAGATGAGACTCAGAATTCTGAGAGCCCAGATGAGAAGGAATCCCCAGGTCCCACGGGAGAAGGAAAGGAAGCCAGGCAAAGGCCACCACCCCAGAAGCACTACGGGAAGGCAGAAAGAGCCACAGTACTAGAAGGTAAGGCACCTGACCCTCCCCAGGTTCTCAGGGAAGTAAGAGATAGGGCCCTGATTGGGAACCTCAGATCCCAGAGTGAATGAGGACCCCTCACCCACCCATCATGCAGACAGCAACACAGAGGGGCAAATGGGGTGCCACCTTACCCAGGGACCTCTGCTGGACCTACCCTCTGTCCACATCAAGTCTGGCCAGGGCCTTATTACTCCTGAGAAGTTGTGATTCTCTACATTTGTGGGTTAGTATTTAGACTGAGGTAGAACTTGTCACATGCCCTGGAGCCATGGGATCTGTTGGCAGAACCCCAGGACCTAGTTCTGGAAGACTGTGTGTGTGTGTATGTGTGTGTGTGTGTGTGTGTGTATGTGTGTGTGTCTGTGTACATGTGTCTCTGTGTGTGGAGGTGTGTCTCTCTGTGTGTGTCTGTGGAGGTGTCTCTGTGTGAGTGGAGATGTGTGTGTGAAGATTTGTATCTGTGTATGGGAGGTATGTGTGTGTGTCTGTATGTGGGGAGGTGTGTGTTTGTATGTGTGTATTTGTGGAGGGTTACGAGGCTTTTCTCTTTCCCAGGGACCTGATTCCATTTCTGACATCCTCAGCTTTAGACTCTGCACTTGCTGCAGGCCCAAAACCTGGATACTTACGTGCCACCTGTGACGGCCACGCTGCCCACACGGTCACAGAAGCCATATACCCAGAGGCTGGGCACGTCGTCCTCTTGGATCTCCATGGTGTTGCCCTTGAAGTTGGCCCCTTCAAACAGGCAGATCTTATGCTCCTGGGAATCCTGGGGAGGCCAAGACCCATCAGAAAAGGGATTGGGGGGTAGCGGGGAGAGACCCTGAGGGCTTATGCCATGAGGCTCCTCCTCATCTGGGAAGAGGCAGTAATTATTGCTATGTCTCTGGTGCCCAAGGCTGAGCTCACCCACACAGGCTTGAGTTCCTACATAGCATCCCCCTGTAACAGCACAGAGGCTCAGAGAGGGCAGACATACTGATTTACAGCACACAGAAGACCGGGGATAGTAGCTTTCCAAGGAGCACCATCCTCAATTCCCAGCAATGAGGCCCAGCCCATCGTGGACAAGCTGTGCAGCATGCAGCCTTTGTTTCCTATGCTTGGGCCTCGGTTTCCTCACTGTTACAGTGAGTGCTGTAACCGCTTCTGTCTACCAGGGCTGCTGTACAGACCCCACAAAGGAAGAGAAAGCACCCAGCATACAGCAGGGGCTCAATACAGGGGTATGCTAGTCACTGTTGTTAACTAGCAAAGGAGGGGAGGGCAGGACACACGAGTGCATCCTTCTTTGGACACAGTGGAAGACTGTAAGTAAAACAAATCAGCTAAGTCTTCTGGAAGGAAGGGAGGTGGATCAAGGGGGGATTATAGGAGAATGGAATTTAAGGAAGGGTGCTTTGTAGGTCAAGTAGGAGTGAGGTAGTCAGAGAAAGGAAGAAGGGCAGAGGTCACACTGAGCAGAGAAGGCATAGGCAAAGGCTGGTGTCCTGGAAGAGGATGTATGGTGTGAGGTAGGGGACGGGGGTACAGGAGATGTGGTTAGCACTTAATCAATGCTGGTGACTGTTACCTGTAACTGTTGCCACTTGGAGGACCTTGGGGAGGGTCAGCCAGTCTGTGGCTCCCCACTGCCATGGAGGTAAGACCTCACCGTGCCCCAAAAGGCCCTGGAGAACCCCACCTCTCGGACACCCCCTCCCATTCAGTCCCTCCCCTGTTCTCTGTCTAGGTGCAACTGTTTAATTTCTTCAGCCTGTCTGAGCTGCTGCAGGCCTCTGCAGGCCTCTGCCCTCGCTGGCCCCTGTATAACTTTCCCTTCTGCCCTCCTTGGACTGACTCTGTTCCCACCCCTCAGATGCCGGCTGCCCCACCTGCCCGCCCTTTGCCAACTACCAACCAGCCCCAGTTCCCCTTGCCCACCCCCCAAGAGGCATAGGCTAAGGTTTATAGTTACAGATTGGCTTCCAGGGCCTGTGGTGGAGCTGGCAGAATCAGGCTAGCCCGAAGTTCAGGAACACCCACTCTGGTAACCAGTTTTTGTTTTGTTTTTCACTGTTTCCTTTTTGAGATAAGAGTCTTAATCTTAACTATGTAGCTCTGACTGGCCTGGAATTCAGTCTGTAGACCAGGTTGGCCTCAAACTCTCAGAGATCTGCCTGCCTCCGTCTCCTCGAATGCTGGGCTAAAGGTGTGTGCCACTATGCCCTGCGCAAGGGATCAGGTTTGATTTTGGAAATAACTCTCTAATTTTCATGAAAGCAGGATGAAAAAGAGACAGGAAACCCAGGGTTGAGTTGCGTGGGGTAGGGTTGGGGGAGGTGCTCAGGAGAAGAACAATGGTGGACCAGGACAGTCACAGGGGACACGAGGTGAGTCAGACTACTGGACCACGACCCAAGGTGTAAGAGATGACCTTGTGGGTTGGTGGTGAAAGAAAGGGCTAATGCCCCAGCTGCACCCATAGAATCAGAACTAATGGATCTGGTGTGAGAGTTTTTACATTTTCCTAATATATTTTATTTAAACAATTATGTCTAAAACACGGTCGTAATTTTAATTTGGCCAATGTGACCCTGCAAACCAGATCTTTTACACTTTGTGAGAAAGACGTGGTGGTGGGCTTAAAACCAGGAGTGTGTTCCATGCTTGTGGACCGTTTCAATCCAGACCAGGCAAACGTCATGTATTTAGGAACCACTTAGGATCTGATTGTGGGGGGCACGCCTGTAACCCCAGGAAAAACATGAAGCCAGGGCTGCAAGTGGGACCCTATCTCCAGAGCACAAAGCAACACACACATGACCCAAAACACCAACAAGTGACTACAGTGGATAGCAACTTCCGGACTGGTTACTGTTCATTGGCCCTCACTGAGCTTGTTTCCCAGCTGAACCCATTACATAGATTATTGGTTCTCAACCTGTGGGTCACCATCACCACCCCTTCGAAGGAGTCACATATCAGAATATCCTGTATAATCCGACATTATGATTCATAACAGTAGCAAAATTACAGTAGCAACGAAAATAATTTTATGGCATGAGAAACTTCATTAAAGGGTTCCAGCGTACATAGAGGGACACAGACAGGCCATGCAAGGGTTTGAAGCTAAGCTCTGAGTGTTCACAGTGTGCTCAGTGAAAGCCAAGATCCAGCCTGGGACTCCCAATGTGCCGCGAGCGCTCTGGCTGCCTAACCCACAGTGAGGCATCGGTACCACCCCACGGTCCCGGGTGAGCCTTCATTAACGTGCTTTCCTCACAGACATTCCCACCTCAAGAGGTGAGAGTCGGTGCCATCAAAGCCTGGCATGTGTGAGTAAGAAGTAATTGGCTCGTGACTCATGATCAATTCATAATTCTGGGAAAACTACGCACCATGTGGAGCTGTCTCTGCAATCTAGATTCACCTCCTTTACACTGATCTAGTTAAACATCACAAACCTAATTCATCACGTTGTCATATTGTCACAGTTGTCTTCCCTCAAATCCATTTCTTAGCCACTTCACAACTAACTTTTCCTCCCTTCCTTCCTTCCTTCCTTCCTTCCTTCCTTCCTTCCTTCCTTCCACAAGGTCTCACTTGTAGCCAATGCTAGATTTGAACTCACAATTCTCCTGCCTCCACCTCTCCTGTGCCGGGATCATGGGCCTGTGTCACCCACCATGCCCAACCATAGCACAAACTTCACTCTGCATGTTGAGGGCCCCTGTTGGGTGAAAAGCTCCCCAGGGTGTATGGTGTGCAACCAGGAACCTGACTTTCTACAGGGTAATCAAGGAATACACTAAAACGTCTTGTTCAGTCTCCAGAACTTTAACTCCCAACTCATAGAGCAGAGAAGTGTCTGTATCACTCACAGCCTAGGCAGGGTGCAGATGGAGTATTTGAGTATTTCAGAGAGTTTTCAGAATTGCTGAGAGCACGGAAAACCAGAAGCCACTAGGCTTCCATCCCTACCATAGCTGTCCGCCCCAGTTCCAGCCACTCACCATCCTGATGGGCCGGAAGGACATGAGCCGGTCACTTCGGTAACTGCTGGTCCAGGTGTCCCAGCGTGGGTATTCACCCTTCTCCAGGACAAACATCTCCCCACGGAAGGCGGATTGCTCAAAGGCTACCCAGCTGGACACAAGAAGGACCAAGAGGTACAGAGACAGAAAGGAGAAACCATCAGCAAGTGCCCTCCGCAGCTTGTCTTCCTGCCTCTCTGCACAGCAGCCCAGGCACCAAAATGAAAACCTAAGGTGTGTCCAGTGGGTCTGGGTTTCATTCTGCAATATACCCCTGTGTGACGACAGACAAGCAGCTTCCCCTCTCCCAGTCTCCATCACTTCATTTACACTAGTGGTTTTTGGAGCTGGTGAAGGATTAAATGAGATACTGTGTGCAGTTATCTGAGCAAATTATTTTTAGCAAATATGGGATTCACAAGACGTTAAATACTGTGAGGACCTGGGGCCAACTAACTTATCAAAAAGGATTTACCTCTGAGCTTACAACAGCTGGGACAAAATCTCTGCTTGCTGCTAATGTGACTCTAATACCTACTGGTCCCTTCTTTCCAGCCATGGGAGGAGGGGGCCACTGGTCCCAGCCCTGCTGCAGGCAGGGTGTGAGGCACTGCTTTGAGTTCGAAGCAAGGCTTCTCATAGGTACCTGTGACTCACAGCAGAACTAGGTTTTTGACTGTCAGAGTTGTGCAAGCTGGCATTCAAAGGATCATTTAGAATAAAACCCAGGAGCCAGGCATCATGATGCACCTGCAATCCCACTACAGGGAAAAGGCAGCAAGATCATGATGTCTGTGGCTAGCCTGGGCTACACAGTGAGACCCTGTCTCCAAGCAAGGAAACAAAAATCAAAGGGAGCAAATGCGAGCAGTCCCAGGAGTTCAGATATGAGAAGAATTAATCCACATCTGCTGAGAACTAGACTGGCAGCCAGAAGGCCCACAGCTGGGGCGAGTGGTGCAGAGAATGAGTGTGGTAACCAGTCTCAGGTACTCTGTGTGTTGGCACATGCCGAGGGCTTCATCTTTCACAGAGAGTTAACTGGAAGTTTAAAATCTATGGGAGCCTTTTCAGTGTGGCTGGACTAGGAAGATGAAAGCTAGGACTTTGGAGGTGGTGATCCTCACTGTATGTGTTTGGCGTTCTGAAGAACCAAGAGAGACTCCACAGAAATCTCCCTGAGGGCAGCTGGCACCATCTCACCAGAAAGACTGCAACAAGGAGACACCATCAAGAGCTGAGACTCACAGAAGCATTCCAGGAGCCTCAGGACATCGTCTGAGGGATGAATCAGCTACAGTCAAGTGACAGAATAGAAGATACGGACTTGTATGTGGAGGAATTGTAATTCAGAACATGGCTGTCTGGCAAGAGATCACATCCAAAGACCTTCTAGGTCAGTGTGATCTGGCTGGAATACAAACATGCCTTTAATCCAGGAGACAGAGGCAAGCAGAGCTGAGTTCAACTTGCTGGTATAGAGCAAGTTTCAGGTAAAAACAAAACAAAACCTTAGATTCAGGCGTGGTGGTACACACTTTTAATCCAAAAAAAAAAAAAAAAAGGTAAAGTTAAGTTTGTAGAAAGTGATGTCTAATTGTGTGGCAGAAACAGTGATGAATCAGAGAAAGATCTAACAAAACAGAATATGCCCAGCTCTTACAAGAGAGAGAAAAGGGAAGCTACTTAAGGAGCAACATAGAATGAGAGAGAGAAGATGCAGTTTTACCGAGACAGTAATAGAAAGGTTGCAGAGAAAGAACACAGATGAAGACCGAATGAGCTGGAGAATGAGGAGTCAGGTTATTAGAGTGGATTGTTTGAGTTAGTTTCATGCCAAACAGAGCAACTCTGAGGCTGAGAGAAAAGCCACACTGAATAAGTCAGCTGGGAGAGGAGTTTGAGTCAGAACAGCTGAATTGAACCAGCCAGCCCAGAGCTTAGTAAGAACAAGAAAGGGTGAGCTTATTCAGCAGTAAGTCTCACAGGCTGAAAACATTCTAGGCCTAGGGTAGACTGTACAGAGGCTAGAAGCTTCCAGGACTAGGTCCAGGTTAGCAGACAGAGGCAGTAAGCCTCCCAGACAGCAACTGAACCAGGCGAATAAAAGATAATTTTACACTTGTCCTCAAAGAAGTCAACTGAGGTTATCTTAACAGACTGGAGAAGATCAAAGGATGGACAGATGGATAGGTGAATGGATGTATGTATAGATGGGTGGATTTGAATGGAGAGATGGACTGATGGATGGGTAGGAGGTTAGGTAAATTAATGAACATATGGATGGGTGTGTCAATGAATGGGTGGATAAGTGGTTATGTAGATAAATGGATGGGTGTATGAGTAGACAGCTGAATAAATGAATAGGTACTGACGGAAGGATAGACGCCGATTAGATGAATGGACAAATACATGCATACAGGGATGGAAAGATGAATAAAAGAGAATGGCGGATACAAGACTGATGACCCAATATATTGGCCTATAGATGGAAGCACAGACATACATGTGATGGACAGAGTGGGTAGACGGGAAGAGAGCCTCAGAAGGGGGTGCCGCACAGGTATGAAGACCAGAGACTCTGGGAAATGACAGACCTGAGTTCTAGTCCCAGCTCATCGTTGGCTGTTCACCTCACGATTTGGAGCACTCTGAAGGCAGTTAAGCTTCATTGAGAGAGAAGTTAGCCGCACCTGCATCACTGGGAAGTTTTGAGGGTCTGAAACCTGGGAACCCATGGAGCAGACCCAACTCGAGGTTCACACTGTGATCTCATCTGTGACTAGAGAGGGGGATGCTGTTGCTTATGAAAACGCAAGACAGATGTGGTCCTGCCACCTCCTCCTCGCCCTCCACACCCCTCTGTCCTCTTTAGGTGGTTCACAAGGATCCAGGCAGCAGTGAGGGATGCCAGGTATATGTTCCAGTGCCCATTCTCACTGTCCACGGTTCATTTGAGCCACGGGCAAGAAGAGGGGTCAAATGCGGACACGGAGCCTCAACCCGAGAGGTGGTGCCCAACCCAAGTCATGCCACAGTGTTGGGTTTCAGGCTGAGGTCTCCTAGGTTTCATGGTACATGTCCCGTGATACATGAGAACTCCTGGGTACTTGTCTTTCCCTTCCTTTCCCTCTTCACCTCCTCTCACCCTTTCTTCCCACAATGCCTGCTGATCCTGACACAGCCCTTGCTGCTGGATCTCAGGCCCATGTCTGTTCCCGGAACACCAAAAACAAAACAAAACAAAACCAAAAACCCAACATGGGCACAGCTTTCTCTCTTTTTGAGGAGAAATACTCTGGCTTTGAGTCATCAGCATCCCAAACATCCTGAAACCTCAAGACGGCCACATCGAGCAGTTCCGGTCCTAGATGGGCTTGGGGGATGGGTGGGGCTGAGTTGAGGTTGACTGAGTCAGGGATGGAGTGGACACAGAGGCATGAGTGGCCCCTGAATCAGAACGTAGACCCAGGCGTGCTCTGAAACTCACGGGCAGTAGCAGGAGGTAGACGGTCATCACCCTCACCTGCCACACTTGGATGTCTATACGGTGCCAACCCCACTCTGCCTCAGAATCATTCTGACTCTCCTTGCTTCTGAGTCAAGGAAGCTGAGTCTTGGAGACTGAACAAGATACAGGAAGGCCTGATCTACATCTGGCCTTGAACCCAATCTGGGGCTTCCCTTTGTGCTGTAGATAGCCTGAGATGACTTAAACACTGACTGGCCACGCCCCTTGGAGGACTTTTGAGTAAGGAACCGATAGTGGGGTCGTGATTGCCTCAGCTCATGGGGACGGCCCCTGAGGGCTAGACTGTTGCTTCTGTGAACTGGGAGCCGGTGACAGTCTCTTTACCACCAGGCATTGACTCGGCCCTTCAGAGCCTCAGGCCCCCGGTCTGTAGCCCTCTCTCAGACAGCTTGGTGGTCACATGCATGCACCTGCCTCTTACACTATAGGCATCTGGGAGAGGGGATGGCTGGGGACACGCAGCTCCCCCATGATGGCAGCAGGCCATCTGAGACTCAGTTTCCTCGTCCGTCACTGGGGGAGCACCATACCCCTCCCTCCGGGGTTTGCAGACAGAATAGGGAGCGCCTCAGGTGTGGACCACTGGGTGTCAGGTGGATGTAGCTGCTCTGTGGTGGAGCATGTACTCACGGTCCTGAGACGACGATCAGGCTGCGCACTCTGTCGAAGCCACGGTCCCCCAGGTTCAGGCACTCCCCTGAGAATTCCAACCGACGGCCCTGGAAGTTTTCCTGCTCGAAGACAACCAGCTGCAGAAAGAAGCACCCCCCATGCCCGGGTGACAGATTGAGGTGTGGCCTGGCTCCATGACCCTCACCCCAAACGAACCAAGCCTGACAGATGAAGGGGTTCAAGTCTAAAAACCCTTGAAGGGCATGTGTCAGTCAAAGCAGGTGGGGTCTGGGTCTCAGGAGGTCACAGGCCTGAATGAGTGTGAATGAGCCTGTCCTCCGGACTCCCCACCACTGAACCCAAGATCAGTACCATCGTCGGGAGCAGGAATAGGGACCCATGTCTTCCATCCAAGGTCTCTCTATGTAGCCTAAACCGACTGGGAATTTATTCTGTAACTTGGGCTAGCCTTCAGCCTGTGATCTTCTGGCCTCAGCCACCAACTGGTAAGACTAAGCATGTCTTTGTCTTACCAGCCCTTCTACTTGGCCCTCTGTGTTATTTCTCAGCCTGGCGTGACCCCAACTTGGACTTCCATTTCCTAACTCATATCCTAGGCTACATGTGTGGTCCTGACCCTGTTCTAGGTGCAGAAGCCACTTTCACCAGGAAGCCCTCTGAGATTGCTCCTCTTCTACCCTTGGTAGGGGCTGAGTGCCTCCCACTGTGATACCCTCAGCTCTGCCCCTGAGTCTCCCTCCTCCTCCTCCTTTTACCACTCCTCTTCTTCCTTCTCCTCATCCTCTTTTTTTCTCCTCCTCTTCCTCTTCCTCCTTCTCCCTCTCTTCCTCATCTTCCTCCTCCTCCTATTTGTCTTTTCCCGCTCCTTACCTACAAAGGGCTCCTTCAGGGCAGGGCCTGGGTTCTTTCCTTAATTGTGGACCCAAATGTAGGAAAGACTCACTAGTCCACAGCCCAGCACGCAGGCAGCCCCTCCTTCATCTCTGCACCTCTCGTTTGGATTTTTACTCATTTTCTGCAACTCTGCTATTTAGTGGGGTCAAGGCACCTACCCAGCACCAGGTGCGCATGGCAGATGCTTGGAGGTGGGGAGATGATGGAGGAGGTGTCCCAAGGGACCCTTAGAGCCCAGGTAGTTTTCACCAAATCTTAACTTATATATGGGTTGTGGGTTTGCAGGTGCTTACTACCTTGTTAAAAAGTAAATTTAAATCAATGATTAAATCAATGATTAAATGCAACAACACAAATCAAAACTAGCCACATCCAGACCAGGTGTGAGTCATAAACCCAGTTCTCTGCCTGAGGGTGAAGACAGGGCAAGAAAACCCCAAGAGTCCGTCTCTCCAGGAACCCTGCAACCTGGACCTTGGAGGAGAATTTCCAGGAAGGTCAGAGGTCAACCTGGTGGCCTGGTGGCTCTCCTTGGTCCCTGCCACCAAATACACTCCTCTCCTATTTCTGTTTTTCTATCTTTAAGCTCCTGCATGTGGGCTGGCCTGGCAAGGAGGGCTGCTTCACACTCTACAGCGGACTCCACTTTCTTTCAGGTATGTGGAACCCCTGAGGTTCCCAGGCTGGGAAGAAAGAGGTCAGGGAGGATGGAGAGCAGGCCGGGAAGGATGGAGAGCAGGAAAGGAAGGATGGAGAACAGGACAGGGAGGAAGGAGAACAGGGAGAATGGTGAGCAAGCCAGGGAGGATGATGAACAGGCCAGGGAGGATGGAGAACAGGTCAGGGAGGAAGGAGAAGAGGGAGAATGGTGAGCAAGCCAGGGAGGGTGATGAACAGGCCAGGGAGGATGGAGAGCAGGCCAGGGATGGTGGAGAACAGGACAGGG